CCAGCTCACCGAAGCTGTCCGCCGCCGCCCCTACGCCGTGGTGCTCTTCGACGAGGTGGAGAAGGCCCACGTGCAGGTCCTCAACATCCTGCTCCAGGTGCTCGACGACGGCCGCCTCACCGACGGCCAGGGCCGCGTGGTCGACTTCTCGAACGTGGTCATCATCCTCACCTCGAACCTGGGCTCCGACATCCTCCTGAAGAGCGTCGACTCCGAGGGCACGCTCAAGGAGTCGGCCCGCGACCAGGTCATGAACGTGGTCAAGATGCACTTCCGGCCCGAGTTCCTCAACCGCATGGACGACATCGTCATCTTCCACCCGCTCTCCAAGAAGCACCTCCACAACATCGTCCGCCTGCAGGTCCTGGCCGTCGGCAAGCGCCTCGAGGACCGCGACATCCACCTCGACATCGACGAATCCGCGCTGGACCTCATCCTCGCCCAGGCCTACGATCCCCTCTACGGCGCCCGGCCTCTGCGCCGCTACCTCGAGAAGCACATCGTCACTCAGGTACGCTTCAGTCTTCACATTCTTCACATGTCGCCTCTCTTTAACATTGTATGTTTGAACAGTTGTCGCGCATGATCATTGCGGGCGAGCTGCTGGACGACAGCATGGTCCACATCACGGCCACCAACGGCAAGCTGACCTTCCGGGTGGGGCCTAACACGGCCGCCACCGCCGACTCAAAAAAAAAGTTCGACCCCCAAACGACTCCGCGACTCAGCGGAATCCCGACCGGATCGAGACGCAGGCCTACTGAGCAGGCCGAAGAGGGCCAGGCTTGATGACGGCGACGGCGATGAGGAGGAAGAGGATTTGATGGACGAGGAGGAGGTTGCCGCGACAGCCGGTGGGAAGAGAGGAAGAGCCGAGGAGCAGAACAGCGCGTTCGAGGCTCACGGTCCGAAGAGCGCGAAGAAGAAGAAGAAGACGACGAGCAAGAAGGATAGCCCGCCGAACAAGAAGAGGAGGAAGGCGTCGGGAGGCAGCAGCGCGAGAGCCAAGTAGTGTGTGTGACCACCCCCACACCGCACGCCGCGATCTGTCAGTAGCTGCCAACCGTTCATCTCCCCTCCACTCCCTGTGTACAGATCTTCTTCTTCGCCAGCACACTTGTGTATAAAACGTTAACCCATCCTTTTTCTCGATCCTACTTGGCCCGCGCTCCACGGCTCGAGCCCGACGGGCAGCGCCGCGCGCTTGACGATGTGCGTGTGCGCACGACACTCACGCGTGGCTGTGGCCGTGTGTGCTGCACAGACTGTGTTTTTTTTTCTGTTTGATCAACGCTCTGCATGCAGAGGGGGGGGGTTACAGGCTGAGGGCGAGGGCGTCTTCTTCCATGCAGGTTCCACTACCTTGCCCACCCACCCAACACCACCTCAACCTCCTTCTGCCAGGCACCAACCACCATGGTGCGATTTTGCCTGCCTTTACTTTTGTTGTTCTTCTTCTTTCTTACACCTTCCGCCACAAGGATGAAGACTCTGACTCGCATCTTTGTGTGTAGAGTTCGACGAACATCAATGCGAGCGGCAACAGCTCCGTTGCGACAGGCGGCAGCCACATTGTTCATCACGGTTCTTACGACCAAAGCGGTGTGATAAACGGCAGCGGTACCGTCAGCGGCGGCGGCGCCGGCAGCATCAACACCAACATCAACTTCACCCTCGTCGCTGGCATCCTCCTCGTTGGGGGGACGCTTTTGGGCCTCTACGTGGCACTGCGCCAGAACCACCAGCACGCCCCCGCCGAGAACGTGTCTGTCTCCCCCTCCTTCTCCTGGTTCTCCTCCTGGAGGAAGTGAAGGCCTTTCCCGTGCAACAAACAAACAAATAAAATACAAATGTAAATAATAATAATTATTATTAGTGCCAAATTACGCAAGTGTTATTACGTGTTTTGTTGGGCCCTACACGTAAGTATGATCACTAGAGGATGGGGGCGGTGGTGGAGGTGGTGGCGGCCCTGGCCGTGGCGGGGTCGACGCCCTCGGAGATGAGCTTGCCCTCCTCCTTCTTGAGCTCGTTGCCCGTGATCGAGCCCTGCAGCTGCTTCAAGGAGCCCTTCAGCCTTTGGCCCATCGTCGGCTTGTGCGGCACCGTCGTCGCCGCCGTCGTGCCCAGCGCGCCCTCCCGCGCCGCCAGCGGCACGTCCCGCGCCACCCCCGTCGCCCCCAGTCCCTGCTCCGCGGGCAGCACGGCCGTCGTGGGAACGGCGACGGGCTCGTGCGCGCGGCCTACAACCGGGATTTGCGGCAGCGGCTTCGACTGGTTGAGCACGCCGGCCGTGTGCGGCAGTGTCGTGGTGGCCACCACGGGCGCGGCGGTTGCCAGGGGAACGGCAGGCGCGGCCCTGGTCATGACGGTGGTGGGTTCGATGATGGGCGGGAGCATGACGGTGTGCTCCTGGTTGATCACCCGCTGCTCGGTCGTCACCTCCGTCTTGATCACCGGCTGAATGTGGTGCACCCGCTCGTGGATGATCGGCTGGATGTGGTGCTCGTGCCGCACCTCGACCGGGTGCTCGACCAAGACCTCCTTCTCGAGCTTGGCCCGGTGGAGCACGCCCTCGGGGCCGGCCCGCTCGACGGCCTCCAGGCCCAGCGGCAGTGCGGCGCGCTCGACCATGGGCTCGAGCATTACGCTGCGGTCGGTCTTGATGTGGGTCTGCTCGGCCGTCACCTCGGTCTTGATGATGGGCTGGATGTGGTGCTCGCCGCTCC